GGAGGGAGATGGGGAGGGGGAAGGGAAAGGGAGGGAGGAAGAGAGGGAGGAATGGAAGAAAGAAGAAGGAAGGGCGGGAGGGAGGAAGGAAGGAAGGGGCGAATGACCTGGTCCCGGAAAAAAACCAATTCTGACTACAGCCCTCTTCCCAGCTTTATTTTTTTGGGGGTGAGGGTGTGTACTTTATAAAATTAAGGGATAACACAGATATAGCAAAATGTATAAGGTGCCCTCTAATCCCCCAGGTCAAAATATAGAACACTTCCAGACACCCACATAGCTCACCATTCCAGGGAGCTCTCACTGTTTGACCTGTAAAACAATTGCTCAGTTTTGCTCATTCTGGAACTTCATATTAATGAAACAATAGGGCACATCTTCTTTAATGTCTAGTTTCTTTCACTCAATATAATCTTGGTGCGATTCACTCATTTTTTAAAAAATTCAAAAGCACGTTATTGCTAAAAATGCTAATGATGATCTGCAAGCTGTAATCTTTTTGCTGGTGGAGGATCTTGTCTTGATGTTGATGGTTGCTGACTGACCAGGGTGGTGGTTCTGAAGGTTGGAGTGGCTGTGACAGTTTCTTACAATAGGAAAACAAAGTTTGCTGCATTGATGGAATCTTTCTTTCATAAAAAAATTTCTCATTGGTATGTAATGCTGTTTGATAACACTTTATTCACAGTAAAATTTATTTCAAAATTGGAGTCAATCCTATCAAATCTTACCACTGCTTTATCAACCAAATTGATGTAATAGTCTACATCCTTCGTTGTCATTTATTTTTTCTGGATTATTTAAGTTTTTATTATGTTTTACTTTTTACTTTTTTATATCTAATTTAAAAATGTGTGATACAATTCAGGATTAGGTATACAAGTGGGCATAATACAGGTAAAGTTTGGGCCTCCCTTTGGTCTCCACTTTGCCTGGTTTGGTACCCTTACTGATGAATTCATCCATGTTGTAGTTCATGCTTTGCTTTTTCTTGGGTCTGGGTAAATTTATATTTTATGATTACACCACATATTGTGTATCCATTATTTAGCTGAATTCCTGTGCTCCAGATTTCCCTCCAGTTGGCTCTAATTTCGTACTCAACTCCAATCCTGCCTCAGCAGATTCTGGCCCTACAGGCAGCAGACATCCCTTCTCTCCCTGGTCACCTCTCCTCCTTGTGGCATCTCTAGGGCCTCTCTGCCCCTATGTGGTTCCTGAGCCCCGGCTTCCACACCCACCACCCCAGCTTCCACACCCACAAGACCTCCACTCTGGTCCCTAGGACAGAAGGACAGACCAGCCTTCTCACTGCAGCCACTACCAGCCCCATTTCCCAGAGAGGAATGGACAGGCAGCAGCCAGCTGGGCAGCAAGTTAGCACCGCTCCCTTCCCCTACCCCTCGCCCACTGGGGGCCCCAGAGCCAATGCAGGTCACCCGCTGCCCATGGCCCTGCTTAGCTGCCCTGGCGCTGCAGCCAATGGGGACTAGCAGGAGGAAGGAGCTTATTAGGCTGATAAAGATCTGGGAGCCCTGCCCAAACCCCTCCTCTCATTTCCCTGGGGCCCTGGCTCAGGCTGGACTGGCTCCCCCACCCTGAAGGCTCCTTCATCCACGGCATCTTCCATCCGCCCTCTCAGAGGCAGGCCCAGCGCCCTGCCTGCTGTTCCTCCCCGCCAGCTCCCAGAGGGCTTGGAGCCCAGACGCCTGCTCACTTGCCGCCAGCTCAGCCCCGCCCCAGCCTGCCCAGTTCATCCTGCCACCAAGGGCAGCAGCTTCTTTAGGCTCTGGGCGGCCGGCAGGCCCAGTCGTCCTGCCTCACCACTCCACCTCGGAGGCTGGTCCTGTCCACTACTCCCTGTGCCTGGCTTCCCTTGCCTGTCTTGGGCCCCCGTGTGGCCTCCCCTCCGTGTCCAGGATTGAGTGCCCCTCTTGCCTCCTGAAGAGCAGCCATGGCCACCTACAAAGTCAAGGTGGCCACGGGCACTGACCTCTTGTCGGGAACGCTGGACTCCATCTCACTGACCATTGTGGGGACCCAAGGAGAGAGCCACAAGCAGCTGCTGAACCACTTTGGGAGAGACTTTGCAACTGGGGCCGTAAGTGTGTGTGTGTGGGGAGGCACCTGGAGGAGTGGAGGTGTGCAGGGGGCTGAAGTGACATGTGAGGTGAGCTTGGCCAGAAGAGGCTGGAGAGCAAAGGGACAGCTATGAAAGTGGTGGGCTCCCAGGGTGGCTCTGGACGCCTCATCCCAGACCTAGCTCCCAGTCTTCTCCCCGGTCCCAGTCTCTGAGACTTTTTCATCCTGTGCCCTGATTGCTCACCCTTTTGCAGTCATCCCTCACCTTTCTCCCTCCCTTTTCTATCCTCTTCTCTCTCCCTCTTCCTCAGCCCTCTTTCCTCTCTCATCACTCAGCCCAGATCCCTCTTCTCTCATTCCCATCTTTCTCCTCCCTTCTCCACTGCCTCTCTCCCCCTCTCCCTCATCCCTCTCTCTCCCGTTCCTACTTTTCCTAAGTTGCATCATAACTGGTTTAAGTTTGTACTGAATTCTCTGTGGCTTAAAATGACATCAGACCAGCCTGTCCAGTGGAAGGCATTCTTTGGGGTCTCAGCCCTCAGACCTGATTTTGAGTCAAGGCCCAGCCATCCATTGCTACGTGACATTACGATGTCACTCTATCCATGTAGCCATTTCTGAATCTCCACATCTTACTGAAATATGGGAGAAGAAGGGACTGGCTGGATCATTTCTCCCTGCTCTAAGGCTATAGGGGGCTTGGGAGGCCCTGGGCCCCACTTGGACTCCTTTGGACCCCAGGTCCCGGAGGTCTGCAGGGTTCCTGGTCTCAGAAATGGCTACATGGACAGAGTGACATCAGATGACTGGGGAGGGGAGTGGGAGAAGACCGACCCTCAGGAGCTGGAGATGGAGAGAGGGAGGGGCTGGGGTCCTGCCCAACCCCGGGTGGATGGGCCCGGGGGAACAGCAACGTTGGAGGGGTCAGAGGGAAGCTCAACGATCAGGGCGATGTCCCACCTTTCTGCCCACCCCAGCCCAGGGAGGTGAGCATCACCCAGTGCAAGCAGGGCCTGGGTGAGGGGCCAGATCAGCAGGAAGCCTGGGAGCCAAGGTGGAGCCCTGCCCGCTTAACCAGTCCTGTGTCCTGCCCAGTTGGATGAGTACACCGTGCAGTGCCAGCAGGACCTGGGGGAGCTCATCATCATCCGCCTGCACAAAGAACGCTACTCCTTCTTCCCCAAGAACCCCTGGTACTGCAACTATGTGCAGATCTGCGCGCCCAGTGGCCGCATCTACCACTTCCCTGCCTATCAATGGATGGGTGGCTATGAGACCCTGGCCCTCCGGGAGGCTACTGGTAAGTCCTCACCACCCCTCACACCCCATGCCGGTAGGCCCCTCACTCCAGCCTGGCTGCCCTGGCCAGCTGGGTGCCAGCCCCACCAGGGACTCCTGCCACTCTCACACGTTACCCTGTTGCCACTGCTGTGCTGGGTCCAGCTCAGGACTGCACACTGAAGGAATAGGGCTGCCTGAGGCACAGGGGCTAACCTCAGCATCCCAGAACTGGTAGCAGACAGCAATTCCAGAGCATGCTCCCGTGCTCCCCGTTACTTCTCCAGGATGACTCCTATAGGATGCTCACTTACTCTAAAAAGGCCCCTTGCTGGCCAGGCGTGATGGCTCATGCCTGTAATCCCAGTACTTTGGGAGGTGGAGGCGAGAGGATTGCCTGAGCCCACAGTTTGGAGACCAGCCTGGGCAACTTGGCGAGATCTCGACTTTACAATAAATCACAAAAAATAACCGGGCAGTGGCACACACCTGTGGTTCCAGCTACTTGGAAGGCTGAGGCAGAAGGATCACCTGAGCCCAGCAGGTTGAGGCTGTGGTGGCAGTGAACGTGCCACTGCACTCCAGCCTGGGTGACAGAGTGAGACTCTGACTGGAAAAAAAAAAGACCTCTTGTTACACTAGGTACCAGCTTCAGTCCTCCCACAGGATACTCTATTTAGTATGCCACATAGCAAGTCCTAATACTCCAAAAAGAATTCCTGCCACTTCAATAGAATCCTGTCACTACAATAGGATGCCATGTTACTCTAGTAGAATGCTCCATGATTCCAGCTGGCACCTTGTTATTCCATTAAGAGGCCCTCTTGGTTCCCTAGATCTCCACAGTGCCTTGGTCTCGTATATTGTCATGATACCTTGGTTTTCTAACTGATCATTTTTTAGACTGTGGAATGTTCTATTGCTCCAAAGGACACCCTATTACTCCAACTGGACACCTTATTTTTCTGACAGGATTTATTGCTACTCCAAAAGGTCCCTCTTAATCCAGTAAGGATCCATCCAACTCCGATAGGAGATCCAGTTATTCATACAGACTGCTGGTGTTTCTCCAAGGTCAAGGCTGCCCAGTTGTTTTCCCAGCTGCTTGGTTGCTCCCATGGGAGAGAACCAGCACCTGAGTGTCTGAGCTCCTTGCACCCACCTCTGCCAGAGCCGGTTGTCTTCCGGGCAGGGGTCAGCTTCCTGACATGTGGCTGCTATGTGGGGACTAAAGGCTTGTC